TATAATTCACCTATAATGAAGCTATGTAGATATGCAATGATTGGCTCCTAGAGCCCCTGGTACCATGTACCGGGTATTTCAAGAGTGACTGGTCACTCTTCATGTAACTTGGGTACACATGGGGTATGTACCCCGTTACATGCAGGAACTCAAGCTTATCGGGTGAAGGAAGATCACAAGAACCGTGCGGCAAGACTGGATATGCCACTCCTGCGATGGGCGTAGCTTAATGGGAGGTGAGACACGATTTGCGTACGTGTGAGCCAAAGGCTGTGGCTACCCGAACATGAAAAAACTCGGTACTGTAGCGATTCATTTCCAACGATGCCGCCGAATCTTGGTTGATGGTTGCTCTTCAACGTCCAATCGTAACTGTTTTCTGATCATCCTTTTTCACTCATGCCGCTAAAGCAAGGTAGCTCCTCACTCGTTTTCTCCTCAAGTTTTGTAGATAACCTTATCGTAAAATGGCTACGGTTTCTTTAAAAACCAAGGGAAACACCCCTATTTTGGAGCTCATCCTTTGAGATCCAACGTCTTTGCTAGACGCGCGCTCATTTGAGAATCTGCGGGAGAAAGACGAGAGGAATTCAATTGACCGACGCTATGACTGCAGAAGCCGAGGTGGAGTTCGCCGTGCGCTTGCTGGGTGATGCAAGCGAGAGCGTCATGTGTCTATTGGGAAGTGCGACGGAGCTTGGGGCTTGGGACGTCGAGAAGGCTGGTGCGTTGAGTCTTACTGTGGATAAGGACGCCCTCTAACCGATTGCTGTGTAGTTCCATTGGAGCTGGCTGAGTGCCAGGAAAATGAGAGCAAGTGGCGCACGACGATCAAATTCACACCGACCACCAATACGCTCGAGTATAAATACGTGGTGAAGAACGCGCAAACGCTCGAACTGGTCTCGTGGGAGGGACTGCCAGGCAACCGGACGCTTACCATTGCCCCCGGCACCAACGTCGCACTGTAAGTGTGCTGTATGTGTAGAAATGACGGATTTGACTCACTTGTCCTTGTGGTTTACAGAGGGGCGCCTTCATGTCAGAGCTCGACGTACACGACGTCACGCGCGCCAACGCCGGGACCTCGTGATGCCAAACTGGGCAACAATGGCAACACCAACGGCTTCCAAGAGTGGCGCTGTTGCCGCACCAATAAGGAGACCAATCCGTGGTGGGAAGTAGACTTGGGGCAGAACTACAATATCTCCAGCATCCACCTGTGGAATTCGATGACTTATCACGAACAGGCGAGACATCCAGAGGGCCGTCCGCCCCTTACGTCGAAGGCGTCGACGTCATCTCCGGCGCCTCCACAATGGGCTTTCATCTCGAAGGAACCGCTGGGTCGTGGTGAGGATTCCTATAATGAAGCACAGGCCAAGGCAACAGCAGACTGCTCACCAGTGCGGGCGATTCAAGTGCAAAGCTCGCATGGCAGTCGAGTGCAGTCGCTGAACTTTGTTGGCGGTATTTCTGTTCAGGGGCGCTACGTACGACTGCAGTGTGCTGGTGCCTCGTGTGCGCTACAGTTTGCTGAGCTGGAAGTCTTTACGCAGGATCCTGTGGATACAGTGGATGGCAACGACAGACAACAGACGATTGCAGCATGCCACGCACAGGATGATGGATTTTACGGTGTTCCCAAGGCATTGGACTCGGACTTACGGAAGTATGTGGAGACTGGATGGCTGAACCCTGCCGCCGATGTAGCAGAGCTGCAGGTATGGGTTGGAAGCTTTGATTCGAACAAGCCAGCCATTCAGTGGTTGAGTGGTAACCAGGAGCACAGCCGCGTGGCAATTGAAATGCGCCATGAAAAACAAAAGAAAAAAAGCAACGAAGCAGAACCGCACAATGACGTTCATACTCATAAGCAGTCAGTGAATACATGGGAGTCACTTCCGGTAGAGTCCAAGAGTGCATCCCTGCTCGACAAGGAATCGACGGAACTGCGTAAACTTTTGGAAGCACATCAGCAGGAGGGAGTCGACATAGCAGCATATTTGAACAATGACCCGAACGCGACGTCTTCAGCGCCAGCTCCATCAAACGTGCCCTGGCTTTCGAGATTGGCGTTTGTCAAGTCGCTTGAGGTATCCAACGCGGATGGTCTGGCTAAAGTAATTGCCACAAGGAAGTACAAGAAGGGTGACAGCATTATACAGTACGCAGAGCAGAAACACGCTGTGTTCTACATTGAATCGGGCAACGTCGAGCTGCTCGGTCCAGAGTCATCGACGGGCACGAATGTTGTCGGGTCACTCGAAAAGGATTCGATCTTCAACGAGATGGGACTCTTTAGTTGTTGGTCTAGACAGCCAGCATTGTTCAAGGCTAAAGACAAAGTGATTTGTCAAGTACTCGAGTTAGAAGCTCTGCTTAAAGCTCTGGGAAAGAGCAAAGTAGCTTCGATTCGCGACAATTACATCCGCAGCAGACACAAAACGACATCACTGCCTGAAGACAACAAGTTGCACTACATGGATGGCACACACGTCCAAGTGTTCCGTGTCAAAGTACCTGTGGGTGCTGTGGACGGCAGCGGAAATAACACGAACGAACGAACTCACCGCTGGACGATTGACATCTATGACAGCAAGAAGGATGCACAGTCTGAAGTCGTCACAAGAAACGAGCTCTTGGGCTCCGCTTATCTTCTTCCATCGCAAATTGACAAGCAGGGAGAAGCAGACCTAACGATTCCGATCCTCTCCTCAAACGAGGGCATTGTCGGCCAGCTCTCACTGTCATACTTGGCTTTGACTCCATTCATCCACCCCAAGAACAATATCGCGAACGTGTGGCGCTCCTACTGGCGTGAACGACCTCCGCTTACAATCGGGCATCGAGGCATGGGACGATCATATTATCAGGTTGACGGACACCGCCTTGCGCTGACACGAGAAAATACCTTGGCGTCGCTCATTCTAGCTGGACGGAGTGGAGCTGACTTCGTGGAGTTTGACGTGCAACTGACTAAAGACCGAGTGCCTGTGATCTATCACGATTTCATGGTGAACGTTGGGTTGGAAGACAAGAGCGCAGGATCGTTTGGGACCAGACCCGAGAAGTACGAGATCGGTATTCATGACATGACCTTCCGCCAGCTGACTCAGTCCTACACGACTCCAGTGCCACACAAGGGAAGCAAGACCCAACTTCTGCAGAACCGAGTGAAGAAGCACTGGGCGCGTCTACAAGGGGATAAACAGATCCCTTCACCAAGACGTGGACGCCTCACAAGCGATGACAGCGCCAACGAAGAAGGTCATCTCGTGGACTTCTTCCCTCGACTAGAGGATCTGCTCAAGCACGTGCCAGCGGAGGTCGGTCTGAATATCGAGGTCAAATTCCCAGACAACTACTTTAACCCGGGGATGCGGAGTTTGAGCTGCTTCGCTATCAATGCGTACGTTGACAGACTCCTTCAGTGCGTCTTTGACTTCGCTGGCCCGCGTCGTATTTTCTTCTCGTGCTTCGACCCGAATGTTTGCATCGCACTTCGCGCGAAGCAGGCCAAGTACCCCGTGCTGTTTCTGACCTATGGCTCCATGGCACCGCAAGCGTTTGATGCGCGGATGACGCTTCAATTCGCCACCAATTTTGCCAAGATGGAGAAGCTGCAAGGCGTTGTATCCAACTCCAACTCGTTCCTAGAGACGCCGGAACTTGCACCGCTCGTGAAAAAATACCTGGGCACTGTGTTGATCACGTGGGGCGATCAGAACACGAAGCACGAAATGGTACAGCTACAGAAGCGTCATGCAATCGACGGTGTCATTAGCGACAACATCATTGATCTTATCAACCAGGACAAGAAACTGTTCGCGCTGACCAAGGTCTTTTAGAGCTACACCGAAGTGCACACTCTATCAGCCTTGAAATCAGCATTGTTGTATACAGTGAATGCATCATCAGATCCAATTACATGTACTAGAAACATGTTCAACGTTTTCTCTATGCAACAGACAAGCACTTTTTGCTGTTCCGAGTATTTTCAATCAGATAAAAACACCGAAGGGAAGAAACATATCGATCGATTATTTCGAGCCTAGTCCGTTTGTACTTGCCAGAGCAGAGTGTATTTTGGCAGTTTTTATCAGAAGCAATGTCATCAGGGTGGGCACGGGGGAAACTCGCAATTGTTGTTCGGGTCGCGGGATAGTCCTTGGCCCAACGACGGACACCACAGCGCATCTTCCGGACAACCTTGACCTTGACCTTGACCGTAACCATAACCATTTCCACCAACATCCAGCGGGTCAAAGGTGGTTTCTTCGCCCTCGCCGTCGACATCTGTGCCTGCTTCATTCCAGTCTTCGACCGATCCGGAGGCCGAAGAGCTCTCTGAGCCAGTGACGTCGCAAGATGTCGTCGCCGCCACTAGCGTCAATGCCACAGTTGCCACCATCATCCACTGTAGCTTGAAGCCTCCAGAGAACATTCCTACTTTGTGTAGTTGCGCTGGGTTACTTGACACGACTTGAGCTAATCCAGAAATGAGCTTACGTCTCTTGAAGCTCACAGCGACAAAAATAGCCTATGTATTCCAATTATCCTGTGCTATGACATTAAAAGTAACTATCAGCTAAAAACAACTTAACCTATTTAAATTCATAAAACCTTAATATTACAAGATAAATGCACTTCAAGCCCTTCCTGTTCCTATAAGGAAGCTCTCAACGGTCTGTACTACCGTAAACCACGGGCTCAGTGCGACACTGGTAAAAAGTTTAGTTGTTAATAAAATAGTTGTTAATAAAATTCACAATCCTAGGAAAAATATTTACGACGAAAAAAGTAAGACGAGATGGTCCACTGGACGGAGTGCGTTCCCGCCACAATGACTTCCTGGCACTCATTTTACTTATTTTCGCGCACCAACCATGCCGAGAAGGCCCGAAAACAGGAATCGCAAGAAGATTTTGATATGGAAACACTGCATACAATGCGATTTTAATATTTATTAACATCGTCTACTTACACAGGCACTCGAGCTGTTGGACAAGGTAGGATCTGCCACGGCAGCGGAAAAGCGTTATCTGTCCATCGGTCGTCGTTGTATCGATGGAAGAATAGCCGCAAAGCCCTTGAAGATGCAGCTCAGAAGGTGCCTAACAGGTGCTACGTCAACCCATCAACTTGTTCTTCTCTTGGAATTCGCCATCCTTCTTTAGAGACACGGTACGCTTCTTTATTATTTTTATTTACTGTTCCTAAACATTTTTATTTTTTGTGTAGACTGCTTAAATGGATCACCGACATGCGAAAAAATAGATCGCTCTGCGTGTCAACAGAGTGTTTGCTATTAATGCTGTCTAAATATAACCCAGAGCTATTTCAGAGTCGCTCACGTGCGGCAAACCTCATGTTTATCCGCGGTTTTTGAAGCGAAACCGCTTGACGATCCGGCGTATAACGCATAAAGGTAGAAAGAAACGCAACGATATGGAGGTACGCAATTGTAATGCACGGGTTATTAAATTACGATAACAAAGGGATTTTGTATGATTTACAGGCGGTAGCGAACGTGTTTTCACGCTCTATCCAGCATACTATTGAGGAGAAAGGTATCTTGTCTAGTGATATGGGTCCTGAAAAGTATGCATCCGTATACAACATGGACCAAACGGCTGTATACATTGACATGAACGGCAGAACCACAATTGAGTTTGTTGGTGCACCAACAGTGGACGTTTTACAAGGTACGGAGATTTTATTAAATATTTTATTGACTCTTACATTTTCTCTATTAATAATGTAGGCAGTGAAGTTATAACGGGCCAAGAGTATCCGTTATCTTTGCATACACGGTTGCTAGGAAGCGTCGAGGAGACTCAGTCAATTGAGTCTAAGTCGTCGGAATAGGGGAACATCAACTCTGCTTTATTATGGAACCAGGGCAGTAGCCCTGCTCCCTCATGTGAACCACTCAACCGAGGTCGATGCCTGATTGGCCGGTTATCTGCCAATCAGGACATGATACACAGCCCGCGCTACTCGCGCGCTGCTACTGCTACATATGTAATATTTAATAGCTGTTCACCTATATATGCAATGTGGCCCATTACAGAAGTCAACGGGTTTCGAGCCTCCGTGTTCCTGGTGGCGTCCGCGACTGGTCACAAGCTTCCTCCCTTCGTTGTATTTTCAGGGGTCCCTGACGCACGTGTTGCCGCTGAGGTATGGGACCCCAGGTTTGGTTCAAGTGATGTTGAGCACGCAGTGCAACGGTAGGCCTTCTGTGACGAGCGCGTCATGTTGGAGTGGATCCAGAGAGTACGTATTTTATTTTTATTTTTTTATTTGGAAATAAAACTTTTTTTAAATTTTTAACGCTTTACTTATGCAGGTGTGGAAGTTCTCACATACTGGTTGCAGACTGCTCTTGTTTGGACAGCTTAAAGACGCATAAGATGGCGTCGGTGCGTAATGTGCTACAAGAGGAATGCAGTAGCCAAGTCGTGTTTGTCACGCCAGGTATTACTGGTGTTAGCCAGCCAATGGATGTAGCTGTTTTGAAAGTGTTCAAGGATCGAGTCAGGTATGAACTCCTGCCATTTGTGTCAACTATACCATACATAACGACTTATTGTTGCTTATTTAGATCGTTGTATCTTTATCACCATATTGAAAATGGGTTTCCTAGCTCACCTACATACAAGCGGGCAAGCATTTCCCGTATTGTGGCGGAAGCGTGGAACTCGATACCTCAAGAGGTGATTGTCCGTGGCTTTGTGAAAGATGGCATCATTCCAGTTGGACCACGTGATCTCAGCGGTCGTTTTCGCGTCCCCGCAGTTGACAGCACAGAAGCTCCGGTTGTATGCGATGAAGAGTAGGTAGTCAACGTGCAAATGCAATTTTCATTATACGATGATTTTAATGTTTTTTGTTGGAAGGGGCGTCACTTCTACAAATTTGAACTTTTTATTTAAACGGTTTGTCGTTTTACGAGTTGTTGCATTGATGTCGTGCGTCTCACTGAGCCCGTGGTTTACGGTACATGATACATTAACGTGGTCTCTAAGGGGGTCTACAGGTATTCTAGATGCCATTTTATGCACAGGTTGAGCGGACGATATCACATAATCAATACAGTCCATCCACAAGCGTACGCTCAGAGAAAGATCGCGCAAGTTAATGTAATCCTAATGTGAATTCTTTCGGGATTCCCGAACTTGTCACTTCAACAAATGCGTCACCAGGCACGAGCGGGAGCTGTGGTAGCGCTTGCCTCAGCGAGACCAGGAGCTGATCCTAGCGGACGGCCGTCTGGAACACCACTCGTATCCCCGGGTACGGGATAAGGTGTAGTTATCTCAATTCACTAGTTCTGAAAGTTCCGAACATGAGTACATTGTACCTAATCAACACTTTATACGAGGGCCCACCAGAGTGATTGTAGTTATTAAAAT